GTGAACCACGGTCGACTACATGGGAGTCCAGTGACATAGCCATTACGCTAACTGCTGGTCCCTCCATTTCTCTTTTTTTAAAGAATTATTTTATTTAATTTTGTTTATTCATTCATTTATTTTAATTTGACCAGAGAGTAACAGAGAGAGAGGGAAAGCGAGAAAGCAAGCCACCACGTCCGGGACTTGAACCATGATTAGCCATATGGGAGTGTCCAGCACCTTAAACACCACACCACCTGCTGGTCTCCCAATTTTTTCTTCGGATTTTGGGTACACACGTACATGCCTGATGTGTTTTTCTAGCCAACTGGTCTGGGACTCAAACCTGAGTCGGCCATGTAGGTTCCAGCGCCTTAACCACCATGTTACCCGCTGAAAACCTGATTCTTAAAAATGTTTTCTGCTGGGACCAGCAGTTAGTGTAATGACTATGTCGCTGGACTCCCACGTAGTTGACCGCGGTTCGCATCCTGGACCCGGTGGCTTAAAACGCATGCCCAGCGTGTATGCGTGTGTGCCCAAGATCCCGAGAGGAGAATGAAAGAGAAGGGATTGCTGCGTGGCCATCCCCCCTGGGGGGTGATTTCTCACTTTCTGTCTCTCTGTCTCTCTGTCTGTCTGGCAAGCATACGTATCCTATAGCAAAAACCTCTCCAAAAAAAAAAATGTTTTCTGCTGGGCCCAGCAGGTGGCACAGTTGTTAGGGTACTGGATGGTCCAACATGGTTAGAGTTCTACACCTGGTGGCTTGCCTCACTCCCCCCCCCACCTTTCTCTGTGTCTCTCTTTGATCAAATTGAAACAAATGAATGAATGAATAAAATTAAATACTTCTTTAAAAAATTTTTTCTGCCTAAGGCGTTCAATATTTAACTAATCCAATATTCCTGTTCTTTTTTGCGTATTTATTTATGTCTGGCATTAGTTATTAATTTTATAAGTTGCTTAGTAAATTTTACATATTTTTTTTATCCTGGGTACTAATTGGGCTCAAGCCTACACTTAGTTTAAGGACAGGATTGTGTTTTTCTTTTGTATGTTTCTACTGACAAGAGGGTCATATATTTACAGTGAAAATGTGGTTTAGGGTAACCATAAAAATAGTGCTTGCTACCGATGACTAACTTGGGGTTCATTGTTAGCCTTTGAAGTCCAGCAGCCTTCCATTTAGGTATCAGGACAAGTTCTTGAAGAATTATGTGCCCTGTGGATTCTTCTGTAAATTGAATCAATTAAAATATGCTAAAGAAGCTCAACTTTAAAATCCCGTAAGTGCAGTGTAGATCATCGCATTTGTGAATTAAACACCTTTAGAGACCAGTAGCCCACTCCTTGATCTCACAAATGAGGAAGCTGAGCTCCGAAGGGGCAATGTAAGGATTCTTTTTAAAGATTTACCTCATTTTATTTAGTATTTATTTATTTATTCTTAGATTTTTGGTATAGGTTGCATGCGCTCACCAAAGAGACAGCAAGAAAAATTGAGAAATCATCCCTGGAGGGGAGATGGTCATGCCGCAGTCCCTCCTCCATTCCTCCTGGGATCTTTGCACACACACACACACACACACACACACGCACGCACCAGGCATGGTTTTGAAGCCACATGGTCCAGGACTCGAACCGCAGTTGGCCATGTGGGAGTCCAGTGACATAACCGCTACGCCATCTGTTGGTCCCTATTATTATTTTTAATTTGACCTGGGGAGAGAGAGGGGAAGTGAGAAAGCAAGATACCCAGTCCGTGACTTAAACCTCGGTCAGCCATGTGAGAATCCAGTGCCTCAACCATCATGCCACCTGCTGGCCCTCAGTGTAAGGATTCTACTGCTTAAATTTAAAAGACCACTTGAGGGGCTAGCAGGTGGCATGGTGGCTAAGGGCATTGGACTCCCACAAGGCTGACCACGGTTCAAGTCCCAGACCTGGCGACTTACTCTCTCTCTCCCTCTCTCTCTCTCTGTCCCTCTCTGGTCAAATTAAAAAATAAATAAACAAACAAACAAATAAATAAAGTTAAATAAAAAATTGGGGGGAAAAAACTTGACCTTCACTTAAAAAGTCATGAGAGGGGCCAGCAGGTGGTGTGAAGGATAAAATCCCACATGGCCAACTATACAGTACTATTTCCAGACCCCGTGGTTTAAAAATTATACCAGGTGTGTGTGTGCGTGCATATCCAAAAAGTCCCAAAAGGAGAAGGGACTGCTGGGAAGGTTATTTCTCAGTTTCTCTGTTTCTCCCTGGCAAGCACATGTGCCCTATGACAGCACTGAAAAAAAAAAGGTCAGAGAATTGCATAAAGAAAGCAAGATAGGTAGTAATAAAGCCAGGTCATCTTTTGTATCACAATTGCCCCGACTTACTGATTTCTGTATTATGTATTCAATCTTAGAATCAAATTTGTACAGCACTTGGAATTTACGTATTTGGGAATGCTTCATTTTTAAAACAAATTTAATTTAATTTAAATGATTCATTTACTTATTTTTTAATTTGACCAGAGAAAGACACATACAGAGAGGGAGAAAGTGAAAAATTGAAAAAGCAAGCCACCAGGTCTGGGACTCAGACTACAGTTGGCCATGTGAGAGTGTCTAGCACCTAAACCACCATACCACCTGCTGGTCCCAAGGATACTTCATTTATGTAGAGTAAGGGAACTGAGGCCCAGAGAGGTTAAGCAGTTTGTCCAAGGTCACACACTTGGTCAGTGGTAAAGCTAGAACTAGGACTCAGGTTTCTGGATTTTTAACTCAGTTTTTCTTTTCTTTTTTTTAGAATTATTTTATTTAATTTTATTCATCATTGTTATTATTTGTTTTTTAATTTGGCCAGAGAGAGACAGAGACAGAGAGAGAGAGAGAGAGAGAGAGAGAGAGGGAAAGTGAGAAACAGGCCGCTAAGTCTAGGACTCAGAACCACGGTCTGCCATGTGGGAGTCCAGTGCCTCAAACACCATGCCACCTTTTGGCTCCCAGTTTTCCTTTTTTCTAGACCTGTTCTTAGGAGACAGGGAGATATGTTGGAATGTTTTAGGGACACCAGTGAGATCCTTTGCCTCTTGACTAGGTTGTGGTTCCTAGGCACCATCTTTTCCTTTCCCACTGTGTTGGCAGAACTCATCTGTAAGTCTGAAGGGGCCGTTCAGTGCTACTTCATTCCAACCCCTGGTTTGAGTAGAACTCTCTTATGAATAGGCCTTTTCCTATACAGTACCTTAAGGAGAATACCTGGGAACTGTGCTTCCAGTGGCTGTGGTCATTGGCTGACTCTTGAGGTCCCCTCTGTAGTTTCAGTTTTTATTAAGGCCTGCATATTTATGTATGTCTTACATTGGTTATGAATTTGTACTTGTTGGTAAGTTGCTTAGGAAAAAAACCTTTTTTTTTTTTTTTTTGAGAGGGTTTTGCTATAGGGCTTCGTGTGTTA